ACAGCAGCCAGAGCCCAGCCCGTCCTAGAGCGGGGTGGTCACCGTGTGCAGTGAGTGCTCCCGTTGTTTTTTCTTTTATTTTAGGAGAGTAACAATGGTTAGTACATTGTGTATTGTTACTGCCAAAGCAGTTTCTCATATTACAAGATACAGGCAAGAAATAATAAATAAACAACATAGGTGCAAACCTCTGGGTTTTTTTTTAAGTCAACAGAAAATGGAAATATACTTTTTAAAGTTTCTAGTACTTGGAGAAGATATCATACAATGTCTTTTAAATAAATTGTAAGTCAAAGATATAGTATAAATCTTAGAACAAAAATTAAGATTAAGCAATATTCAGAAAATTAAATACTAATTAATTAAAATTTAAATGTTTCAAAACAATTGAACTAGGAAAAAGTTTTCATGATAGCAAAGAAGTACTAAGAGTAAAACATAAGATAAATACTGGAATGGCAAGTAAATGACCAGCACTTCTAACAGTTTGAGGATAGGATATCGCACATAGTTCTAGTGTGTTGTGGACATGCATAATGACGGTGACAGTTACTGGTGGCTAGGCGTCACTTGTGGAACTGAGCTACAGCTATTTCTTTGAAATCCACCCTGTAGACTCAAGTGGAATCATGACCCATAGGGTGGAAGAGAAGTCCATTTGTAGGGTGTGCTGATGGAAATATTCTGCTGCTGAACACAAAAGAATAACTGAAAGACTACTATTGTAAACCTCTTATTCTCCTCTGTTTAATTGTTTGCCCTATTTGGCGGGTTCTTTCCATTCTCATTCATGGGGCTGTGATCAATTTGCTCCCTCTCTAGAACATCATTTAGTAGTCTGTGTAGGCTTGGCTTTGTCATCATGAAATTCTTTAGTTGTTCTTTGTCATGAAAATATTTCACTTCTACATTATATTTGAAACATAGTTTTGCAGGATATATCAGTCTGGGTTGGAATTTGTTTTTTTGCAAGACTTGAAGTACTTTGCTCCATGCTCTTCTTGACTTGATGGTTTGTGAAGACAAATCTGCCATTATTCTGATGGGTTTTCCTTTAAATGTGATCTGTTTCTTTTCTTTAGCGGCTTTTAGTACACTGTTCCTATGCTGAATTTCTGGAATCTTGATTTTTATCTGTCGTGGGTGGGGTTTTCATTGGATTGATACTATTTAGAGTTCTATATGCTTTGGTTACTGGAATGTCAGATTGTTGCCCCATATTTGGGAAGTTTTCTGCTATTACTTCTGCCCATATTCTTTTTACATCGTTTGTATTGGCTCCTTCCTTCTCATTGATGCCTATTAGTCTCACATTGTTCATCTTTGCATCGTCTTGCAGGTATTGAATTATTTTTTCCTGCATCCTAGTTGTTTTCAAGAGATCTTTTCTTACTTTTTCACTAGCTGCAATCGTGTCTTTCAGGTCAGAAAGTCTATTTTCACTTTACCTCAAATGGTTTTGCCAGCTTGTGATTGAGGTTTTAATTTCCTGTTTATCACTTTGAACCTGTTTCATAGATTCTATTTCTTTCCTAAATTGTTTATTCAGGGGTTCCATCATTTTTATATTCTCCTCTATTTTTTTATTAGTGTATTCTTTTGAAACACTTAGTACTTCTTTGATTATAGTTACCACTACATTTTCTAGTTCCAAAATTATTTCTGATCTGATTTCTTCTATACCTTTCTGCAGTTGATTCTTTACTTCCAAGGCTATTATTTCAGAGATATCTGGTGTGTGATTTCCAGTTTCCTCAGTGCTAGTGTCTTCTGCATTTGTACTGGGTGGACTCAGGGCCTGAGACTGCATTTTGTTCCTTCTCTTTGTCATTTTCTATACCACTGTCTTCTGACCTTTGGTGTAGAGCTTAGATAGAGTTATTACCTTAGCACCAAGTCCGGATCTACGAAGTTCAGATTCCTCCAGGTGGGTGTTGTTTGGATCTGGCTGCTGTGCTCCACTTCTTTCTGCCGCAGGCATTAGAGTTGAACAGTTTGTGTCTCTCTGGGAAGATGTTCTGCTCCTGAATCAGCTGGGTGGGTCTTGCCTCTAGCCTCTTTGCAGGGAGTTCTGCTGAAGGGTTCCCTGCTGGGCCTGCATGCAGCCTGGGTCAAATGAGGATCCACGGGCCCCGGGTAGTCTCACTCACTCACCGGGCCTGCGCTCTGGGTCTGTTCAGGATCCCGCGGCCCTCGGTCCTCTCACTCACTCCCTGGGCCTGCGCTCTGGGTCGTCTCACTCACTCGCCGGCCTGCGCTCTCTCCCATTTTTAAAAGGTATTTCAACACAGGACTGGGAGACGGCTCGGTGGTCTAAGTACCTGCCTGGCAAGTGTAAGGACCCAGATTCGATCCCCAGCACCACATGGCATGCCAGCCACCAAGACCAGGGGTGGTCATGCACACGTATGATCCCAGCGTGGGGGAGGCTGAGACAGAAGGGTCACTGTGAGTCAGAACTGCCTAGCGAGACCCGGTACCAAATGAATAAGATTTTTAAAATAGTATAAAAAACATAAAAATGTATTACAGTGCAATACACATTGCCATGGATCCCCCTCAGAATGCCCTTCCTTACTTCAGATACACTTATCCTATCGTGCTTGCCACTTTCTGAGAAATTCTGAAGGTCCTTTCTCGTGAGTGTCTTTACGGTCTGATGCCGTTGTTGCTCATCACTGCAAGGTGAGGCAGGGTCTCATAACGTGGCTGTGTGTCCTCATCTGCCTTCTTCACGAGAGGTTTGGGGTGACTTTGCCTCTTCCTCAGAGTCCAAATGACAGTGACAGGAGTTTTGGGTCAGTTCAGGATATCAGGGAAGCCAGGACAGTGCAACTGAAGACACTGAGGAAAGAGGGCTCCAGAGCTGCTGCCGAGAGGGGTGAGGGTGAGGGATGTGTTTGCAGTGAGGGAAGGGCCCTCACTACAGGAGAGATGTCTCTCAAGGTGAGCATTCTCTTAAGGTGTATCGGTCACACCGCATGCTGTTCTGAGACCGTGAGGTGCGCTTCAGCGCAGCTCGGCGGGCGCTGCCCTGCACAGGGTGGCGCCCTCCAGGGCACTCCGCGGCGCTCGTCATTTCAGCAGTACTCGCCAAGCAACACCCTGTCGGTTTGGCTGGTTGAAGTTTATTTTCAGTCCTGAGTTGAAAGCACCATTGATTTAACGATAAGGGTGTGGAGACGTGTGAGAGAATACACCTGGAGTGCTGGTGTCTGCTCAGCTGACACACCTCCACAGGTGCC